CATCCATCCATCCATCCATCCATCCATCCATCCCTCCATCCATCCATCCATCCATCCTTGTACACTCATCCCATGGTATTTCATCCATGGTACGTGAGCTCAGTATGAAAATTGGCTGATGGACGCCCAGGCGTAACCTTAGAAAGCACTGCCGTTGTTTCCAGAGAAATTAATTTAGTTCATTGCATTTATTGTAGCTGCCCCCTCCAACAGACTCTGGGTGGTTTACACAATCCAATACAAGATAAAATAATTAAAAGCGTAAATAAAACAAGACAGCCTGGACTGAAAACAGCTAATAAAACACTGTGCGACAGCCCTCCCCTCCAAATATTAACCCCAGACCTGGGACCCAAACCAGGTTTTAAGAGCTTTTACGAACCTCCCAGAGCGTGGGGGCCATCTATATCTCTGGGGGCTGCTGTTCCAGGAGGTGGGGGCCACGACAGAGAAGCAGGCTTCCTTGGTCCCACAAGATGCGGCGTTTTATGGAGGGGACCCGGAGCACGCCCACCCTGCCCGAACATAGAAATGCAATCTATTCCATGGCAGTGGGGAAAACTGGTAACTCGCCCACTTCTTCATGGGCACGGGAGAAACATCTGCCCTTAAAGTCGCAGCCTTAGGAAGCATTGATTGCTCCCTTTTCTGCCCCTGGAACACTGTGTCGCTTTGGCTTTTAATTCTTGGAGTCTTCCTTGCCCATATTCCCTATCATAGGCACTAAGAGGAATAGAAAAATGGCCCATCCATCTGTATACAGGTAGACCTCACTTACTGACTGCCTCACGCAGCAACCGTTCCGAGTTACGACAGTGCTGAAAAAATAACTGCGACCGAGGGGCACACTGACGACCTTTGCAGTCTCTCTCTCTCTCAGTCACATGTTCGTCATTACAGTCAGTTAGTGTGCGTTGCCCTGTGCCTGACCCTTCCTTTTATTTCCCCCCCTCGCAGAGCGGAGACATTGGAGAGGAAGGGATTACAAGAGAGTAAGCAGGCACCCAATGAGGAATACGCTGGCTGTTTGCCTACCACGCTCACGGCTCCCAGCCCGGAGCATGCTAGGCAAACAGCTGGCACCAGCACGTTCTTTCTGATGTGTATTCCCCATTGGGTGCCTGCTTACTCTCTAGTAATCCCTTCCTCTCCAATGAATGAAAATAGAAACATTAATTCCCTTCTTGCTGATTATCCCAGCATTCCAAAGGGCAGGGGAGGGGGAAAAGGGAAAGCACTGTCGTGGCCATGTGATTTCCCACTTAGCGACCGCTTCGCTTAACGACCAAGTTGCCGGTCCCAATTGTGGTTGCTAAACAAGGACTCCCTGTCCTCCTAAGCAACCCGTTCTCCTCACCTGATCTGTTTCTCCACGGTCACCGTGCAAAGGTCGCAAACGGCGCTTGCTGGCATCTTCAGCTCCCCAGACCACCTGCGGCGCCTCTGCTTGTCCCTGGAGGGATCCAAGTTCACAGCTGCCTCCTGCATGCCCAGAGGCTGGTTTCAGCCCGATGGCTCCGTGGCAGAGGGTGCCCCAAAGCTCCCCTCGAGAAGGCCGAGAGCTGGAGGAAACCCGAAATGCCGCCGGTTCGCTCCCTCCGGCTTGGAGGACGCCAGAATCCCTTTGCCAGCCCTCTCTGGGGGATCCTGTTCAGGTTCCCTGAAAACAAAGCAAAGTGAGAGGCGAATGAGAAAAAACGAGCAGCTGCTGCTGAGAAAGACAAACACTGGAAAGGTGATCAAGGGAGCCCATCTCCAGAGCGAAGCAGGCTTTGTGGGCAGACTTTGACAATATATTGATTTTTGGCCAACACAGAAAGGCCAGAAAGGGCATTTTCCTGGAGCAATGAAGCAAGCACCAACTTTGCTAGAGCTTCGGCACATACTAAAGACATCTTTATTCACTTTACAATTAGAGATCCCACGATAGTGGTGTCAAATTATGATCGTTTCATGTGTTTTTATTGTACTTGATCTGTTTTATGGCATGCCGGTCTACTTTTAATTCTGTATGCACTTGAAGACGCATGGCGCTGAATAAATAAATAACACCAGTCACCACACTGGGCGTGCACAGGGTGCATTTATCTAACAAAACACACCGAGCACACGCGGAGGGTATTTATGTAACTGCAATTCATCTGGCTCCAGGGGAGACAGCCGCATCCAAAGAAAGGCTTGTTGGAACACTTTTTTCCTTCTGACTTTAAGCAACAAACTTCTTCTCTTTATAATTTATATTCGAGGTCTGTTCCCTGTATGTATACTTTTGTTTACATATGAAAAAAAATCCCCACATTTTTGCAAACCCGTTTTTTCCCGAGATCCCATCTCCCTCCCACTGCTGCTGCTGTCAAAATAAATAATAATAATAATAATGAGGATCTTGATAGGTGGATAAAAATGCCAAATCCAGTCTAAACATCTGGCTGACTGTGCGACCAACAATAATAATAACACCCTCAAACAACAACATCTGCCTATCCCAGGTCCTTGGGAAGGACTTGATGGGTAGATAAAAATGCCAAATCCAGTCTAAACATCTGGCTGACTGTGCGACCAACAATAATAATAACACCCTCAAACAACAACATCTGCCTATCCCAGGTCCTTGGGAAGGACTTGATGGGTAGATAAAAATGCCAAATCCAGTCTAAACATCTGGCTGACTGTGCGACCAACAATAATAATAACACCCTCAAACAACAACATCTGCCTATCCCAGGTCCTTGGGAAGGACTTGATGGGTAGATAAAAATGCCAAATCTGGTCTAAACATCTGGCTGACTGCAACCAACAGTAAAAATAATAATTGGAGAAACCTTAAATCTGGAGTAATAGACTGAATATTCTGGAGGGGGAAACATTCTCTAGCACACTGTGGAAAAATGTATCTGGATTTTGCAGCTTGTAAACCTTTGTTGTTCTGCCAGCCCCAAGCCCCGTTCCATAAAATGGAAGAGATTGCTGGCTCATGGAAGTTCCATACCCCTGAACATGTACTTGCAAAACATCTGGAAGGTATGTATGTATGTATGTATGTATGTATGTATGTATGTATTCATTCATTCATTCATTCATTCATTCATTCATTCATTCAGTTTGTATAGCCGTCCATCTCATATACAGTATATGACCCTGGGCAGCCCAAACCAGTAAAAAATAAAGGGCAGTGGGTGGGTTGTTACATGAACCATCCATTTTATGAACCACTTTTCTGGGTGCAGAGGGCGCACCCAAATACACTCAGCACGTTGGGGCTTTGTGGGTTGCAGGACCGCAGCCTGCAAGTATCAAAGGTGGGAACAAAGTCAAGTCCAAGGATCAGGTCTCTCCCTGACCGCCGTTCTGTAGGACCTTTCTCCCAGGTAACAGATACTACTCCGAGTTGCCACCAGAGAAGAAACGAAACGCATGAGAGAAGCAGCTTTTTCCTTAGGAGGAAAGACGAAAGGGATGCGGTTGCAAGAAAGAGAATTTGGCAAGATTTCCAAGGGGCAGAAAAACAGCCCGGGACCCCAAAGCATCTCATTAAAGCCAGATGGGAAAGCCCTGGGGGTTGGGGGTATCCGGGGTGAAAGTCCAACCCATCATTGTTAGGGGGAGCTCCCCATAAATGCTTGCTCGTTTGGGAGGGTGAGAGGGGTATTTTTGGAAAGACAAAAGCAATGAAGGAAACATGAGAAAGCACGTTATAAAAGAAGGATGTTCTCTGGTCCCTTGGCAAAAGGAGCGGACCGAAGCCCCTTAGCGGCAGAGAAGGAGGCACTCTGCATCCTTAGGGAACGTCATTCATTTAGGGCCCTGAACGCCAATTCCTGGCCTGATTTTTTCCCCCCAAAGACCACAAGGCAGAGAGGGCTTTTTAAAAAGAAACGAATGGCTTGTTTAGCTCCAACACAAAAGATATCTTTGCTACGTCGCAAGAGGGCCCTGGTGCACATCTGGGTTTCTTAGGTGGATGGTGGTTATACTTATTTACTATACAGATCGTCCTTGTTTAGCAACCTTGTTTAGCGACCATTCGCAGTTACGACGGTGATGAAAAAGTAACTTTGCAACCAATCTTCGAATTTATGACCTTTGCAGGCCTGTAAAGCAGTGTTTCTCAATCTCAGGAACTTTTAAGATGCATGGACTTCAACTCCCAGAATTCCCCCGCCCCGAATAGAGTGGGCTGGGGATATTGGGGGTGTGAAAGAATCGTTTTTTAAGATTCCCGGAATGATTAGAAACGCTT